CTGGGGTTTCCATTTCAAGGCCTGCCGGGTGATGTCCTGTGAGGGTTTCCGCGGGGGGTGTCCCATCCATTCCCATTTATGCCTGGCAATCTGCTGGTTGATGGGATCTTGGTTTGTCCGCTGCCACAATTCAGTATTCTTTAGTTTATCTGTCCACCTGATCTTCAGTATGTTGCGAAGGCAGCTGTTGACGAATACTTGGAGCTTGTTGGTTAGGGTGTTGGTGACTCTCCAGGTCGCTGAGCCATAGAGAAGGACAGACTTAACGTTGCTGTTGAAAATTCGTATTTTGTTGCGGACAGATAGGGATGTTGACCTCCAGACTGATCTCAGGGTAATAAAGGCATATTTAGCTTTCCCGATTCTGGCTTTGATGTCCTCGTCAGAACCACCTGATGCTGATACAATGCTGCCCAGGTAGGTGAAAGAGGTGACTTCTTCCAGCTCGCTGTCTCCAAGGGTGATTGGCTTCTGCTGCTTTTTTAACAGGGTCATGATTTTAGTCCTCTCTAGGTTGATCCGCAGTCCAGTCTTGGATGCTTCTTGGGCTAGGCTATCGGTTTTCTGTTGCATATGTTGGCATTTCTGGGACATCAGGCACAAGTCATCCGCAAAGTCCAGGTCTTCAAGGAATTGAGTCAGGGACCACTGGATTCCGGTTTTTCCTGTTTTAATTGTCTGATGCATCACCCAGTCGACCACTAACAGGAAGATCATTGGGGAGAGCATGCATCCTTGTCGGACTCCTGTTCTCACCTCAAACTCCTCTGTCAATTTGCCATTATGGATAATTTGGCATGTGGCGCCTTCATAAAGTTGCTGGATCAGGGTGATGAAACTTTGAGGGATTCCATAGTGATGGAGGAGCTGCCAGATAGTTTCCCTGTCCACACTATCAAACGCTTGACAAAAGTCAATGAAGTTAAGGGACAGCGTTGACTGCCACTCCAAGGATTGTTCGATGGTGATTCGGAGTGTTGCTATCTGATCTGTACATGACTTGTCTTTCCTGAAGCCGGCTTGTTCTGGTCTAAGTTTTTCTTCCACTGCATCTTTCAGCCGGTCAAGGATAATGCGGGTTAGTACTTTGCTTGGTACTGACAGTAGCATGATGCCGCGCCAGTTCTTGCAGGATCCTAGGTCTCCTTTCTTGGGAAGTTTTACCATATGCCCTTTTTTCCAGTTTGCTGGTACTCTTCCTTCCCTCCAAACCTTCTGCAGTGCAGTAGAGGTAGCAGCATGTTGGCTGTGGTTGGAAGGTCTGCCTTGAGTGCCTCTGGGGGAATTCCATCTGGGCCGGCTGCTTTCCCATTTTTTAAGATCTTCAAGGCTTTTAGGATTTCAGCTTTTGTGGGAGGGTTGGTGTTGACTTTGAGTGGTGTGTCTGCAGGGGGGATGTCTGGTCTCACTGATGGCAGGGGTCGATTTAGGAGTTCTTTGAAGTGCTCAGCCCATCGTTGTCTCTGGTCTTGTTCTTTACTGATGGGGTTTCCTCCTCTGTCTTTAACCGGCTTGTTCACATTTGTCTTCTTAGTTAAAAATGCATGTACTAGTGATTAAAATGAGCATATTGAGAAGTTTATAATGTTTTAAAGGAAGTACTTTTCTGGAAGGCCTAATAGGAAAAGCCTTTCTTGATTTAGATTTTAAATATTCCACCAAGTTCTCTGGAAATATGTGCACCTGAACCTGGATATAAACATTGACTGTGGCCACCTTGACAGCTTCCTAAAGTGAAGCCACTGTGACTCAATCGCCCGCTGGTGACTGGTTGCAGTATTGGTCACAAATCCCACCTCTTCCATGTTCGTGGATGGGAAATGATCCAAACTAAAAACTCAAAGTACACATCAAATTTTCACAGAGGTCACTTTGGTGGTATTTGATAGATATTATAACACTGATGTGTGTAAAGGTGGTCAGACTTCTGGTAATCTTGTCTTTAATAAGTATTTGATGGTATAAAAAGTATTTCAGTGGAACTGACAGCTTTGATTGGCAGGCCAACGCTGTCACTCCACTTCTCGTCGCAGAATTTGGTTGCAAAAACACAAGATGGCAGTCGCTGTATTCACAATATTTTGGCTTCATTTTTGCATGTTCATCGTATACGTCAATGGATATACATTTACATTCCCAAAGACAATGAAAATGTGTTTCTATATTAGACTGGCAATGCATTATTTTGTGTGAAATAACAGGGGTGATATGTAACCTGTGCAGAATTTTATGCTGTCTCCCTTAGTCTGTTGCATGTAAAGGTAGACTTAATTGAATCTATAGCTCCTTGCCAGTAGCCGATCCCCTGAAGATGAGTATAGTAGGTTCAAGAGTCAGAACTTCCCTTCCAGGGTTGTGTTGTGATTTGGCCTCTGCACACTTTGGAAATAGCTAAAAGAAATCAGATAACTACCGGCAAAAACATGCACATGTCCTTTCCCAAATCCTATGTTCAGCCCATCTCTGGGAACTGCAGTAAGACAGACTATTTATCAGTGATCTTGTTTTCATCTTGCATCTGCACTTTTGTCTTTCACCCTGTTAGTCTTTTCGACCTCAATACCTGATATTCTTTAGTTATTAATCTCTTCTTCCTTTTGATGTCTCTTTCCCAGTGAACATTTCTTTGTGTCATGTTCCAACAACAGCGCACATTTCAGGCTGTAAATCGTTTATTAAAATCACAAAGTAACACTGGCACGATGCACTTTATAATTTTAGGTTTTGTGGCAATGGGAGGATCTGGACTCCTTTATCAGTTTTCTTCCTCCATGAGTGATGCAAGCAGCTGCTCCCCGTGCTGTCTTTGTACTGTTTGTTAGCTATTTAATCAGCACACACTGCACTCACTGACCATGTTATGGCCTGCATATTGTGTCATATAAAAACTGGCTTTTACAGGCTATGCATCATGAATCGTGTTGATGGCACTGCATGGATGGCCTATGAGACACTGGGCCACTGACATATAAAAGGCCTCTACCTCTATAGGGGCAAGACTCATAGGTTGTGAAACCACATGATTTGTAGACAGTTGTGTCCCTTTGTAGTTGTTTTGCGTCTATTTTTAACTATTTTGTGATAATTTTGACTTATTTTGCATCTCTTAGTAGAACGTTTTCACACATTTAGCTTTTTTATTTGCTTTAGGTTCTTTTTCTATCTATTTTTATTCCTTTTGTGCCTTTTTAATAAGTTGATTGACTTTTCAATGGAAAGGTTCATGGTCCCTGCGTGGTCTAGAGGCCCCCTGACCACTTGGCCACAGTAGTTCCCTTTAGTAATTTATTCATGTGGCACCATTAATTAATATTTGG